AGTGCCCCTCCCGAAGAGAGGCGGTGACAACCGCCTGGATCCAGCCATGTGTCACCTCCCTGCTGTTAGCCACCAACCATTCTTCATATGCTTTAACCTCCAGTCCCCTAATCATCTTGGTTGCTATTCTCTGCACTTTTTCTAGAGTCTCAACATCTTTTTTATAGTGTGGTGACCAAAACTGGATGCGGTATTCTAAGTGTGGTCTTATTATTGGTTTATTAGGTGCTCTGCAGTACAACTATAAAACCTGCAGTGGCTGGAATTAGCATGGGTTAATCCAATTGTGGTGACGCAGTGTGCACGGTGGCTCAGTGGCTAAGAGGCTGAGCTTGTCAATCAGAAAAGTTGGCAACTCAGTGGTTTGAATCCCTAGCACTGCATAACGGAGTGAGCTCCCATTACTTGTCCCATCTTTTTCCAACCTAGCAGTTCGAAAGCACATACAAAATGCAAGTTTAAAAATAAGAACCACCTTTGGTGGGAAGGTAACAACGTTCTGTGCACCTTCGGGGTTTATTCATGCCGGCCACATGACCATGGAGACGTCATCGGACAGCGCTGGCTCTTCGGCTTTGAAACGGAGATGGACAACACCCCCTAGATTCAGGAACAACTAGCACATATGTGTGAGGGGAACCTTTACCTAATCCAGTTTACTGATCTGAGGGCCACTTTCTGAACAGTATGTGTGCATGATTAAGAATGTTCAATTGCTTGGCTATCAGCAAGAACGTTAGAAATAGGATTATATTTCATAATTACACTCTGATTGCAAAAGAGTTGTTAAAGCAAAACAAAATATCACCAGGTCAACATGGGTATTATAACCCATCAGTATGACATTTGCTTCACTCCCAGCGCACCGGAGTCCAATTTCCTAACATTATTTATTTGGATTGTTGTTAATGATTGTTCTTTCAATCACTTCTGCTTGAGCTGGGTGCTATGTAATAGGTTTCCAAGCTGCAATGCAAACAGCTTTGTTTGTGAGATGTTGGGGGCATGGCAAGGTTGTGTGTGTGCTACTGACATAGCCTGGGAAATGAAGCTAGGGAGGTTTTTTTCTCAGTGTAGTGAAACTGATTTAGGGATTATAGCCTTAATTAAATGAGATTTCATCATGATTGCCTTATGAAATTAATTAGAGAGTGGGCAACTGGCCAAGACGTTAACCAGCGATATAAGTTTCTCCTTGGTTTTCTTTTGCAGCCTTGTGGTTATGAAAGGATAGATTGGCCGTCTATCTGAAGGAAGGCTTAAACTTTGTTGTGTTGGCAGCAAAATGTGCTGAAAACAAGCAACGAGACAACCAGAATTAGCAAGAAAAACGTATAGCTTGTATCGCCTCCTTCTTTCCCCATAATTAGGAGGTGTTTGTCACAAGATCTTGAGCAGTTACTCTACTGCAGTGATTCTCAATCTTGGCCACTTGAACATAGGTGGACTTCAACTCCCACAAATTCCCCTGACTGGCTGGGGAATTCCGGGAGTTGAAATCCATCTATCTCCCAGTGGCCAAAGTTGAGAAATACTTCTTTACTGTATGCAGCGGTGGGCTTCAAAAATTGCAGCAATGGGTTCACTGCCCCATTGCTGGATGGGCGTAGCCATGGTGGGTGTGGCCTAGTCTGCCTCTTGCTCCATTTCCTCGAGCCTCAGGGACGGGAAAAACTGCTTCCCCCGGAAGCATAACCATTTCTGAACTTCCAGAACTTCTGGTAGGCCCATTTTTCACCCTCCCTGAGCCTCAGGCCCAGCCCTGCACTTACCTGCCATGATGAATGGGCTGCGTGGAGCCTCTTGGGAAGGGAGGGGCGAGATGGGCAGGGAGGGCATGGCCAGCCAGGGGTGGCATTTGTGGGTTCGCCCAACTGGGTGGAATCCTAGCTACAGGATCGCCCGAACCCATGCGAACCCTCAGCAGTCCACCCCTGACTGTATGGCTTGTCACATGATTTCTAAGCGCTGCAATGTGTCGTGCACAGTGCAAAAGAAATTCCAATGTAAAAGTTCTTGAAGGAAATAATAACCTCATAGTTCTATTTCTTAGAAATACCACTTGGTTTATTCCATGTCTTTGATGGTTTGTTTTTTTTTCAGAATCATATCCTGACCTTAATGTCTGTGGCTGCTCAAATCTACAAGCACCCCAGCCTGAAGAATTCTATCAACCTGGTGGTGGTGAAGGTTTTGGTAGTGGAAGATGAAAAGGATGGACCAGAAGTGTCGGACAATGGCGGTCTGATGCTGAGAAACTTCTGCAATTGGCAACAGTTCTTCAACCCTCCAAGTGACCGCCACCCAGAACACTATGACACGGCAATCCTGCTGACCAGACAGGTATTTAGGTGAAGGTTGGCTGGTTTCTTCTGATCATCTTCTTGAAGATGATCCAGTAGAAGAACGGAGGACCATTCCTTTGTAACTCAATGCTCAGATCATTTCCATCTTATCTTTCTCAATCACAGGATTTCTGTGGACATCAAACCTGCAGGACCCTCGGAGTGGCTGAGACTGGCACCATGTGTGACCCAAACAAAAGCTGTTCTGTGATAGAAGATGAGGGTCTCCAAGCAGCTTACACCTTGGCCCATGAATTAGGTAGCTGCCATACCTAGCTTGATGGGTAGTCCGTCATTGTATCGGAATCAGCAGTTGCCTTGTAGAAAAGCTACCCCTACATATTGTAGGTTGCATTCTCAAGATTGGCCATTAAAGAAAAGATGATAGGCAGGGTTGTTGATACTTTCTGAGCTAGGTGATTTTTTTTTTACAGACATTTCATTACTCAACTAGGTGACATTGTCAATGCTTTGACGCATTGATCAATGCATCTATAATCTTTTAGAAGAGAATATTTGTAGCTCAGGGCACGAACTCTGAACTCCTTGGTGCTCTCTGAGCATGGTGGCTTTCTTGCAGACATTTCATTATCCAACTAGGCAGCATCAATGCATTGAAAGATAACCACCAAGCTCAGAGAGCATAGAAGAAGTCCATAGTTCAGCCCTGACCTGCAAATATTCTCTTCTAAAAGATGATAGGTTATGTAGCTTTCTATGATGTAGCCAATGGGTCTATGATTGGCTATGATGTAGCCAATGGGTCTATGATTGGCTAT